GGGGAGGGGGGGATTGCAAAAAATCATTAACACTCCAGTTTACCTCGAGGAGTGCAATATATCTTGGTTGTGGTTGGGCACCCTACAGGGAAATTCTCTTCTAAAAATGCTTATATCCGGGCAACTCAGCCTTTCTTGACCCCCTATCTCGAAAGTGAAAAGAAAATGGCTCAAAGAGTTGTGAACAATTATTTCCCAGTTAAAGAGACTTTGTTCAACCCAGCGCAGGACAGACTATGTACTCTTTTGTAATCGGGAATCTGAATCAATATCCCTTCTTTTCTGTCACTGCGACTTTTCCAAAGCAATTCTATTTGCCAATCCTTGGAACCTCTCATCTGACTTTATTTCAATATTCCTGGCTTCAATGCCTTAAGACAATTCAGCAGACAACTCATCACAAAAATGTTATGAGATGGATTATGTGTTGGATAGCTTTAGCCTTATACTACATATAGATATCCAGGAATGAGAAGTGCTTCAAAGACAAACAAATCTCACCCCACTAGATTCCTATGAGGGTCAATAATATTTTTCTCCATTCAAAACCTGGACATTAACCTTAGGTAGGGGCAGGGTCCCTCTCCCAAGGTAGCATTGAGAATAAATTGGCAAACCCAGGCCATTCTTTAAACATGGTGGTTATATTTCAAGTACTTCATGTGTCTTGGAGCTATTTATGCAAATACTGATCTATCTTGTTATCTTGTTCAGGTATTGTAGGAGGAAAATCTCAAAGTTGGGGTACCGTTGAGGAAGCAAAACTCCAAACTATCTTTCAAGAAATCCATCTAGTGAAACAAAAGGCAATTGATCACAATTTAATATGCTCGAATTCCCTACAAGTAATTCAAGCACTTCAGGAGCATGCAAATCTTCCTTGGTCTTGCCTTCAGCTTTTGCTAAAGACCAAGAAACTCTAAAGTGATCTCCTTTCTCCATATAAATAGATGTTTTAATACCCCGACTCACTCTATAGCCCAAAACACTAAAACTTTAAGCATGGACTTCTCATTTTGGCACACAGGGACACCCGATGTAAAATATTTTGGTGGATGAATAGATATATTTTAGCAATAAAAAAAAAAAAGAAATGACTTCTCTCTTTACCAACCTCTGTTTGCCCACAAATTCCCAATCAAACACGAGTTGTACAAAATGTTGTTTTGGGGTTGGAGTTCACATCTATGCCCCACAAGGGGGCACTCCACCAAGGTTCAAAGTATCGACACGTATCAGCCAATACGTATCATTCCGGGACCCCTCCGATACACCCTTATAGTGGGTGTATTGGAGGTTTGACTGGTTTAGGGAGTAGAGGAGACCTAAACCACCCCCCTGAACCGGTTGCAAAAAAAAATAAAAGAAAAGCAATAAAAATGTGTATCGATTCGCCTAATACTCCCCTACTAGTGTATTGGGCGTATTGATATTTTGAACCTTGCACCCCACAATGCCCCACATCAAATCCCCACTTTGTATTGGGAACATCTTCCAATGATGTCTCATCATCTCCGGTACTTGCTATAAGTAGATATTCGGAATACAAGGTGGAGATGTGTTGTGGGGCATTGTGGATCACACTAGGAGCGCAGATGTGAATTCTTGGGCAACGTTTTCGAATCGCCGTTAACCCGGACGATCGAATATTCGGCCCGAAAACCATCCAGGCAACTAGTTCCATTTTACCCCAAACCCGAAATCTGGTCAAAACCATTGAAAAAGTCAACAAACCGTTGACCTGGGCAGTCAAACCATCAACCCGTTCAACTGTTTTTGATCAATTTTTTATTTTTTTAATTTTTTTAATTTGGCTGTTAAAACAGGTCATCCATTCAAACCAGACAATCAGACTGTTGACCCAAAAACCGATGGCTAGAATGATACCGTTTCCGGGTCATTTTTTAAAATGTTGCTCTTGGAGTTGCTATCTAAAGATTGCTTCTTTTGTACTGCTGCTAGCGTTCACCAGCACCTTAGAATGCAATGTAATGGGCTTCATTTCTGAGGTAATTGTGGCCGTACAGAACAAGTAACAAAGCCCATTTTGGTTGTGATCCAACAATCTGTCCATGACTTCGATCTCTTATCATTTTTGGCCTTTCCATCACCTTCTACAACCTAAAAAGCTTTTGGAAATGCTCCCAACATCCGAACTAACTCATTTAATCTTATAAATAGTTCATTGATCAAATCACTTTTCTTTCTGTGGCTTATGGTAACCATAAATATTAACAAGATGAGGCTCCTGACCTTCCTGGATGCAAGCAAAATTCTCCACCAAAAGGGTTTTTTTCTGAACAATAACTTTAAAAAAGTTTAAACAATCCGGGATTAGATTTTTTGTTCTATTTTATACTCAAATAACTCGTAATCTTAACCTTCCTTGAATTGTAACTGGTTTTTTCAATAAAATAGTTGGCATAGCAGGAACTATGTTTCTTCTGCAAACCAAGATGGAAGAGATGTAAAAACCACGGTTATAAAAGAAGGGCTACACGTTATCTTCCATGACCATCTTTATGTTGATGGTTATGCCATGGACGAATGTGTTTTAAGAATAACAGAGAATGTGAGTGATAAACAGCCAAAACGTCTCTTTGGTTTTTAAGCCAACTTTCAAGTTCGAACCTTTACAGGAGTAGAATCATAAAAACTGATGATCAAGAAGGCAAAAGGCCTCTTGTGATAGCGAGTGAAACTTGCATCACTGTTTCTCCGTAATTTTGTAGACCAGAATACAAGAGAAATAAAAGGAAACCTAATCAGAACAAAAGCTGCACACAAAATAATATGACAAGTAAAAATTGAAAACCATTTTCAATTTTTAGGATTGACTTTCTGAAGAAAATCTTTTCTAGGAAGATGATGAACCCTAGTGTAAAAAGCTTAATATTTTTTAATTGTGATCCACCCTAGCGCATCTTACAGACTTGCACATTGTTGCCAAATGCAGAGCTTACATGCGCCGTTTGCTCCACCACTCGGTGAATTTCCCTCCGAGGTTGAAGACTACGCCAGATTAATTAATTTGATTGTATTTTTAAGGATCTCATTTTGAGCTATTGCAATCTCATTAAACTTCCGGAGGGAGGATACTCTTGCATTATACCAACTACTATAGAGGTTTGCGATAGCGTTAATTGATTACATGGCAACCCCCGACCACATAGCCGCAGTGGTGCATACCCAGGTGAAACTACTAGAAAGGTTGAATGGATTGCCAACCTAAAATCTAATAGAAAACCTCGGCAAACCAGAAGATACGATCCAAACCAAAGCACTGTGACTCTTAAACAGTCAGCTCATCTGCAGGATCTCAGAAGTCAACCACCTCACAGCAGAATTGGGATCCGCTGCTCACAGCGCACCTCACAGGCACATCCTACCGTGCATTGGGAACATCTCCCATGAACAATAACACAAAAATACGGAAGATGCTCCCGATACATGGTGGGATGTGCATGTGAGGTGCGCTGTGTGAGGAGCAGATCCGAGCTCCAGATCCTCACAGCAACGACCAAAAGATTTAAAAATGTTGACGCTTGGCCACTTGTTTAACAATTAAACATCTGAATCAGATAAAAACTACCCAGCTTCGCATAAAAAGGACCTACCGATGGCAATGTTCACAATTGTCTACCCTCCAGAGGAAATTTAGAAATGGAATGGATCACCGTTTGCGATAACCTATGATCAACTCTCGCTCGAGTACCCCGTTGCCATCTCTAATTCACTAAAATCTAAAGATCACCCTCTGCTGCCTTTTGACTGCAATCCAACTGGGTATATACATGGAAAATTGGCAACTGTACGGTGTTACTTCACCCCAAACTAACGAAACCAAAAAGTGTTAACATAAAGGACTAGCCTCTCTTCTGCAACCAGAATACCTTCCTAGCGCCATTTTTCTTTACAGTAGGTAAAGAAATTAATCCATCACCAATTGCGTCTTGTCGTTTGGCACATTGCTCCATCTACTAGGGGTCCAATCTTACCAATCCCCTTCCAGTTCCACAGTACAACAATCGCTGTGAGGTAGCAAATTGGTCACATCATTCCACGTAGATATACCAAAAACCTTTCAAACTTGGTGTTGATTCTTACGAGAAAAAAGCTAAAGTCCTCAGCAGGTGTTGGTAAATGGTAACAGCCACGGTCAATTATTCATATCCATTGAATTTGATCTTTACGATCTCATCTACCTTGATCTCTCTGAAGCCCTGTAAATTGAAGATCCCATAAATGAGTGGCTATAGAAAAATGGCTATTGTGATATTTCAAACTGCTGGCTACAATTTACATAAAAATCAACGGATTCAATAATACAGTGCAAGCATGAGCTTACCATTGTTATGGAATCAATGAATATAAAAACAAACTGGACCAAGGCAGATAAATCTAACATGGTCAATTACAACATGAGAGTTCTGATAAAAGAAAACCAAATAATTAAACGAAGCTGTATATTTCATTCCATTAAAATGCACATTTAGAACTATGCAAGGCAAAATAAAATAAATTAAGAGAATAAATAAAATTTCCAAGGATCCTGGATAGGAAAGATAAAAGAATACTTCCAGATAAAAAATAAAGAACGGTCGGTGCTCTGGAGAGGCAACCAAAATTACCAGTTTCCAGATTTCAGAAGTATCATTCATAAACATGGAAGTCAAATTAGTGGAGAACTACCACGTCCAGTAACAAGCCAGGAGGGGCCAAAAAAAAAGAGAACAATTGTTAACCGAGGCAGACAAGTTACAGGAGGGATGACTTGGCTTTCCTAGAAAAAGAGACTTGACAGCTAATTAACTCCTCTGACTAATAAATAAAATACAAGGCATACATGGGAAGAAATGGCAAAACCTGGTCAGAATTGTATTACTATTCAACACAGATAACGAAAAATGCCTGAGAAAATTTTACAATTTCAAGAAGGAATTAGGACCAGGTAAAGACAAGAAAGAAAGGAATATAAATTGAGAAAAGTGGGGAAATAAGACTTTAAACCATACTCCAAAGCCATATTCCAATCAAAAATAAAACATCTCCTATAATAGTGACTTGATTCTTTAGAATTTAATTGGCATCGTGCAGTTGTGCTTTCTAATACTAGATCAGAGTATTGCCCACAAAGTACCTTCAATATATTTTGCAGCCTCCCACACATTTACCCCAAGATTCATTCTTAGAATGCTTTCCTCCATATGAAGCAAAATATTTTCATAGAACAGTTCTTATTCAACAGAGCTCCTCACATGCAATTGTTTACTTCGTATTTAATCAACTGTAATATCAATTTTGAAGACAAAAGAATTGATAAGATCTACAGCAGTGTATCATGATGATATAAAGCTTCCATTAAAGCCGTACTAAAAGAACATGTCAGTACCTGGTGAAAATGTCCACAATAATAATCATGAAAAATGTGCACCTGAAAACTAGATAACTTTATTCAGATCCAGGACTTGAGTACCTAAGGTTAAAATTGAACCAGGTGAACATCCAAGGCTTTGATGCAAAATAATAAAGCAATCAGTATACACAAGTAACTCACTATCCTGAATCAAATGAAATATACACTGTCAAAACAACAACCATATAGCCAATGGAAACTGTATGATCTAATAACAGATGAATAGATTCATGTACCATCCATGTTACAAGGAACCTTAAAATGGAATACTGGTGTGCGAAATTCGAGCCAACTATATACAAAACAGCAACCAAGCTTTTGAGCTGACCAATATTTTGCATTATCCAATGTGTCTATGGTCACCGTAAGAAAACATTGCATGAGAGCTGGTATTCAGAAAAGAACTTGAGCAAAAGCAGCTTTTGTGGCACCAGACAGCATCTCTACATTTGTCCTTTGAATCTTGTCCAAAATGAGTCTTCTCATCTAGATTGATTGCTGAAGAAATAAAATGCAGATGTCAGCCATCATGGAATATCTATACATACATTTTAGCTCCATAGAAGTATAGAACAACCAACTGCCTTGCACAGACAAAAAAGCATGAGTGTCAGATGAAATCAATATGAATGGACATCTAAACAAAAGCAATTTCACACAGTTGTACACAAGGTTCAAAATATCGTAATGTATCGGTCCGTATCGGCCGATACATATCATTCTGACAAGAACCCGATATGCAGAACATTCATAAATCATTTGTTCCGTTACCTTTCGTACGTATCGGTCGATACTAGCCCGTATCGGGCTGTTTCGGATCTGTATCGGCCAGTACGGGCCCAAAACAGTCCAATACGGTTCAGATCTTTATTGTTAATCCATATTTAATACCAAATCTCTCATTAATGCCGTTTGTTTAAGTCTAATTTTTCTTTCATTAATTAGCCAATTATTCCAAGGCAAATTTAAATTTGAATTTTAGCGCCTAATTCAAATTCTCTCATTAATTCCTTTAATTAATGATCCCCTATCATTAATTTTGTTTTGTTAGTGTAAAACTTCAAATTTGAGCTATAGCAAGATTCGAACCTTGGTCACTTGATTTTAAGTTTTAACCACCACAAGTTCGCCAACAAGCCATACATATTTGTTTGCAACGATTATATGTATTTTTAATTTTAAGTAAATTTTCACTTTTCTTAACGAGTGGCAAGTTTTTATTAATAAATGCTAGAATTAATTATTAAAATTTATATACTAATAAATATTAAGATTAATTATATTGATTTTTGAAAATTGGCATTCACATTTTAGTTTTTTTTGTTTTTTTACATTTTAGTTATTCCATCATTTTTCAATGGTTACTAATTGTGTCCCAATATGTCACTTCATATAAACCATTAAATTATGGTTTTTTACATTTAAATGACTTATTTACAATCATATAAAATTTGTAAGTAATATATTTTTTAAGATTTATTTGAATTTTTTACCATATTTATGTGTATCTTGATTTTTTGTCCGTATCCAAGGCGTATCCCAATACGTCTCTTAAAATTGTCTTTCCGATACACCTTGCATTTCCGATACTTTAAACTTGGTTCTACAAAAATTACAGCATATACAAAAGCTCTATGGAAATGAAGATCCAATGTATATTTCCACCCTGTCAGCCCCAGCCTATATCTCACCCACTGCAATCCCATTTGATCCCCCATAAATACATGTTGAAGCATGGGTGCAGAAGCTCCAATGTGGTCACATATAATTTAGCACCCGATGTAAAGTTTACTAATGATATATCTAGGAACAGAAGTATCACCTAAATGTAATGGGGTTCAAACCTACAGATATGTTGACTGTTCAGAAAAATCTATATAAGTGATTATTTGGGAAGTTCTAGAATATAATTAAGGAAAAGATATAATCAAGGTGAAATATTAACTTGTTTCCTTTTATTTCAGAAATGAAATGAGTTTGAGAATCAGATAAGGTACGTACAAGTCACTTAGCTGAAGAGTTGCGTTGTAGTGAAGGAAGCCAACTACTTGAAGAACCAATTCTGCTGCCAAGCCCATGACTAGCATGCACAGCCTCAGTTGTCACCATTGGTTTCACAACATTTTTCTTGGAGGCACCAGCAAGAAATGAACTAGATCCCACATGAACTTTCTCAGAGAACTTGCTCACGTTCTGCAACAATCAAATTTCAACACAATCTGATTTATGGGAACCCAAGATATTGGCAACTAATAAGTTAAAAATACCAACAGAACAAAGAGAAAATCACATCCATGTCCGGTTAACAGAATATCATCCCAGAAAAAAGAGAAATGGTGAAATAGGAAATATAAATGTATATATAAACATGCATATATGATTGCATTATCCTTAACACAAAACATCTAGCCAACCAAGGGATACTGGGACCACAGTCCCATGGAAATAAACAACTGAATAACACTGACAAAAAAAAAGATAGGTGCCTCCTAATGATCTGAAACATCTGTTTGATGCCTCATTCTTCACCCATGAAAGAAAGAGAGGAAGAATAATATGGAGATGTCCTAGAGCTGCAACATTATGGTGTGTGTAGCAACTTGCTAGTTAAAGGAGATTCTAAAGTTTCAATAGGATGGTTGGAAAGCTCAGAGAAGAGACCTTGGAGGTATAGGAATGAAATCATGGAAGCCACGGAACTAAAAAGAAAATTGAGAGAAATTATATGATGGACACCTAGGACTGCAAATAGCCTAGTAGATGGGCTGGTAAAACAGGGGGTGACAAGAAGCTCTATGTTTTTGGGAATGACAGAATGAGGGGGATTGTTTGTAATACTGTATCTGAATTGGATGATTAGTTGAGGCTGACTATCCTTTCATTTTTATATACTTTATATTTCTCGACTTAATAAAATATATTACTTTTTGTTGCTGATCAAAAAAATAACACAATGACAAGTTGCAAAACATTGAGCAGTGTAGAAAGAGGTGTTCTGGTAATAAAAATCATTCAACCGATGTGCCCTATTTTAATGTTGTCTTCTAGAATCCCATAAAGCCATACCCTTACAGGCACCAGGATTTCCCACAGACAACATAACCTTAAATGGAACTTGAAGCTTCCTAATAGGAATTTTGCAAAAACACCATTGCAAACTATCCATGACAAGATGGCTTACATTCCTATCAACAGCGTTTTCAGCAGTCAAATTCTTGTCCGCTGGAGATTTAAATTGCATGCGAACACCATGACGTGGAGCATTACTTGATATTACTCGCTCTGTAGCCTCAGCTGAATAAGAAGCATTGTTCACTCCTGATATTAAAAGCAATAAGAGTCAAAAAGCTAATCACAAAAAGGAATTCAGGTTGATGAGCATATCAACAATCCCTTTTTTAGAGGCTTATAAATGAAACTAAAGAAGCTTGCTTGTTTTTGTCTCAGGCTTGAGTCTACAAATAGAACTTCCACAATAATCCAAACAATTAAAATATATGCAAAGCTAAGGGGTTCACAGAGTAGATGCTATACCATTAGCATCTATCCATTTGTTTCAAATTAAAAAATCCAGACTCCCCTTAGAATGACTAAATGCAAAGAACATTATACCTTGATGCTTATCAACATCCATTGGCATTGCTCGACTACTAGTCCCTCCCGAAACTGGCTGTAAATTAGACATCAGTTCTCATTAAAAACATGCTTATTCCAATTATTGTGTGCACAAGATAATACCATTTAAAGGGTAAATAGAGAATAATGTAGGTAGGCAGTCAACACCAAGCAGATTGAATAGCCTCTTAACAAAACCATGAAACGTAGGGTGAAAAAAAAAAAACTGAAATGCCAAATCCAGACCCAGAAGAGTGAAGTTGTGGTAATACTAACAGATAATTGGGGCTGAGGTTTTGTCTTTTGCGCTTGCTGGTACTTTAAGATGGTCCAGTCAAATATATAATCAAACTCATATCCTGCAAAAACATAAGACAGCACTGTTAAAAACATGAACATGGAATCGGTGATGCTACTGCTGATGTTAAATGACAATGGTAATGCTGCAGGATGAGTGGAATTAAGATCAACAAATACACAAAACTCAATTCAATTAAGCCTCATCCCAACAATATGGGGCGGCTACATGAACCCTGTTACACCACTCTACTCTGTTCAATGCCACATCTGCACAGGCACACACTGCATTGTTTCATTAATTCATTTATTGGCAAGTGGTTACTAGTGTATATCATCTAAAGTTCAGTTCAAAATTCTCCCTACATGGTGTTCAGATATACTAATATATGATATGAAGGGATGAGGCTCTACAAATATAACTAAAAATATGTTCCAGTGATTATGTATTCTTAATTAATGATATCTAGTGACAATATTCACTTTTTAAAACGACGAAATGAGCAGAGACTGGGAAACATGTAAAGTGACTTTGTCTACCACATACCTTCACGAGTGAACAAGTCCCGAAATAGACGTTTCAGAAAACCATAATCAGGTCGTTGATCAAACGTCAAGGAGTGGCAATAATGGAAATATGAGGCAAACTCCACCGGATGAGACTTGCAAAGAACCTTTGGACAGAGGGAAATAAAGGCCTCACGAGTTAAATTTCAATGTTAATCACAACATGGAAGTAAATACTTAAACAGCTAGGAGCACATACTTCAATGGGAGTTGATAACTTCTTTTCACATATCTTGTCATATTTTTGCTTCTTTGTGGCAGCTTTTAGTCCCTGCCACGGAAGGCTGCATACATGTATGTACCAGTCAGGTATAGAAAATAACCATAACACAATTTGATTGAAACACTACAAATTCAATCGTAACATCCCGCATTTTTGAAAATAAGAAGTCCCCAGAAGAGATGGCAGCTAAAAAAAGTGTATGACATGCCGTATTCTTGGCTAGCAGTTAACAAACTCTTCAGGAGAGTGCCTTTTAACTCTTATTTTGAGTTATGATAATCTTTTTGTGACTTGATATACAGTTACAGTGGTAGATTTTGTACATGCACATTGTACAGTACCTTGTTGTACATGGGTGCTGATGTATTCCATTCATATGCATATATAAATACAAATACATTATCTTTTCATACAAGAATTTGTAACATAACAACTAAGAGATGGAGCAAACCTTCCTCTCAAGAAATACAAAAGAACATAGCCAAGAGACTCCAAATCATCCCGTCGGCTTTGCTCTAAAGACAAGACAACATAATCAGTAAAATTGAAGCAATTAAACATTACCAGAAACAAGCTAAGAAACTAATTTTACTTACCAATACCCAAATGAGTATTGCAACTTGCATAACGTGCTGTCCCTGTTAAGTTTTTGTTCTCCCTACATAGGTCAAGAGAAACAGTAACCTTTCAGCTAACCAGTATAGGATATTTCCAAGCAAGATAAATGGAAATGTCTCAAAAAAACGGCAAAGAAATTTTTGGTTATTACAATGTCTTTTGATAAATTGGTAACAACACATTGAAAACATAATAGCAAGCAAAAGACATTGTAAGAAAGACCCATAAGCCACAGCATGCACTTGCTAATGCAAACACCATAAGCCTTAATAGTGGCAATGAATATTATAGCATACACAGTTTCATGCACACTCATATGTTGACATCTCGACCTGTTCACAGGCTGGGCTTTGGGCTCAGCTCATGAACATTTTACACTGCTTTGGGCTCGAGCTCAGGCCCATTCAAATTTTGGCAAAAGCTAAACCCAAGACCTGCCCATGAATAGGTGTATTGACATCTAATGACTTCTTTGTACAAGCAACTAATAGAACCTTCATTTCAACATATCTAGAACTTGGTCTTCCAGGAGAGGTATACAGTTTTACAGAAACCCAAATAAAAACCATGCTAACCACCAAAGTTTTATTGTGGTTTCATTAAAACTAAATAAGCCTCCTAACATATATATATATATATATATATATGTTTTCACTTCTGCAGGGTTCTGTAGCATTCATAGTTTTAAAGTTTAAACATATGAATCATTTGCAGGTACAAGTGTACAACTCATGACTGAAAGCCATGAAGGCAATAAGAGAGGTATGAAACAAAAAGGTCAAAAACACCAACCCTTATTATACCTTCAATTGCCAGAACCTTAGCACAGGGTAATTCTTAGGTTTTTTTTTTAATTCAGGGACCATTTGGGAGGGCTTAACTTTAGTTCAGCTGCTTTGAAGAACCAGCTGGAAGAGGATTTTCTGGGGAGCCATGCAAATGGCTGTGATGACCAAAATTTGGCTCTGGATTTTTCATCAAACATTGATTATAGGCTTTCTGGGTGGGGCCCACCTCACAAATCCAAAAGCCACAGCATGAAAGCTCTCCAGAATGAGCACTTAATAAACATCCATATTTTCTCGTGGCCCATAATTCATCAGAAAAAGAAAGCCAACAGCACAGGTATCAATCCCACCAGAATTTAGGCCTCACAAGGTAAGAAAGACCGCCTAATTTACTGCAGCAGATCAGAATAATACCTGTAAGGAATATGTCGATTAGTTGTAGCATCCCGATATCTTTTTGCAAGACCAAAATCAATAATGTAAACCTGAAGAAGTGCAATTAAAGGATGGGTAGTAAAGGAAGAAGGCATGCCATATGAAAGAATCAGAATAAAAATACAAAAAAGTCAGGTAAAATGCCAAAAATTATTGACTTTACCTGGTTTGCTTTCCGACCAAGACCCATCAGGAAGTTATCTGGTTTGATATCCCTATGCAAAAATCCTTTAGAGTGCACATACTCTATTCTTGTAATCTGGAAAATGAAGCAACAAAAGAATAGCCATTACATGGAACTTCTTTAAGTAGAACTAAGTTCCATACATGAACAACAAATCCAGTGATGCAGACCATTTAATCTCCTGTTCTTTTGGAAAGCTAGTCTCTTGGACTGCAGTTGCAAAAGGTGTTCAATCAAGGGTATTGGGAGCCCAGCTGAGTGATGGTAGTTTATTAAACTTGTAATGTAATTCTGGGTACTTGGCCTCCAGATTTCTTCTTTGAGGGCCTCTTGTACTCTGGTTCTGTTTCTAATAAAATTACTTTACCTTTTTCAAAAAAAAGAGAGAGAGAGAGAGAGAGAGAGAGAGAGAGAGAGAGAAATATAGGTTGTAACCTATGAACCACTATTAGAAAAGCACAAATCTATTAATTTGTGATTGGGGATGATGCATAACAAAGCAGAAATCTAATAAAATTTAAAAAATCATTAAAAAAAGCAACTCAGAAGAGGGGAAAACTCATGTGAAATTGTGAATGTGTGCATCTCCATTAACAACAAAACAGATCAACATGGTAGGAAATTGTACTTACCATCTGATCTGCCAACATTAAGACAGTCTTCAGTGAGAACTTCCTTCCACAGTAGACAAATAGGTCTTCAAGGCTTGGTCCCAACAAATCAAGGACAAGAACATTGTCATCCCCATCTACTCCACACCATTTTATTCCAGGAATACCACCTGCGTGAATAACAATATTCAATAATTATCAATAATGACTAAAAGGTTAAAAATTAATGCATATAATTTTAATTGAGAAGGATGATATTCATGATACATACTTCCTCCCTGAAGAATATTGTATAGCTTGGCTTCATAAAGCAGCTGAGGATGTTTCGTCTTGCTGTTTTCCTGTTAGTAAAACCAATAGCTGTATTCATCAAGTTGAGTAAAACAGCCACAGCCAAAACATGGCTTCCCTAAAGTCTAATTCTATACCAAAATGTGGATTCTGATTAACATGTGACAAAAACAGCCTCTATTCCGGAAGAGTTATCTAACAAAAAGAACGAAGTGATTCAAAATGATTTAAGGAATTGCTAAAATAGTGATTAGCACTTCAAAATCTGACCTAAATATGAAAATCTATTCTTTAAAAATGCAAGCAACTGAAATGGGACAGACCATAAAAACAAGCCAACGGAAAAGTCCCGTTAAAAAGAGGGAAGATGATATCTGCAACTACTTAGCACTTGAAGATGTATATAAAATTCGAGCTACTCATCTTTCAAAACTATTGGGGAATAAAGTAAAAACCAGTAAAACGCAAATGCATACTAAAAACAAATTTCACTACAGATCATTAGAATAGCAAGAAAAATCTTTTTTTTTTTTGAAATGTAAGAAACAATTTAATATTGACTATAGGCCGATTCATTTTCCTGTTAAGTAATCAGTAACACCAGGCCAAAAGGCATATGTTTCTTCCTCTTTCCCTATTCATTGAACAAGAAGACAAGTTAAATACAGAAAAACTCTCAATGAGTTTACAACCTAGTTAGTTTCCAAGTTTCCAACAACAAATTGTCCAAGAGGAGAGAAATGAAACAATACCACAGAAAAATCGAAACCGTTCTAAGAAATGGATAGAGACTTACGATCTTCACCGCAACCATCTCATACGTGTCAACATGGGTCGCTGTAACATATCGAATTTCATAAAATCATCACCAAGGGAGCATGAACTCCAACTGAAGAACACGAAGAGAAATTGAAACATCAAGACTTACCAAGATAGATTTCTCCAAAAGATCCACTGCCGATCTTACGGCCTAACTTGTACTTCTCTCCAACGATCCTCTCCATAACTTAGTCTATCTTCCAATCGATGGATCAAGTTTGTCTGAACATCCAAAAACTAGGGTTTCAAAAATTTTTACGAAAAAAACGAACTCAGATTAATCGAAGCGGAAGTGGAGACGACAGACCAAAATGAATAAGAGACGATTTCGGCTTTTTTCTCTTCGTGAAACCAAAACCACACACGAGAACTTCAGGAAGGAAAGGGGAAATTTAGAGAGAGAAATCGACTATTTTGCCTTCCGAACGATGTGGAGAAGTGTGGAAGCATCCAAATTAGTGTATATAAGAAAGGGGTATTTATGTAATTGTACTAAAGTGAACCGTCGTTTGACTAATTGACTTCTATTTAATTCTCTAAAGGACATAAGGATTTCCCAAAATTACTCAACTATTAGCCGTAGAAGACAATAAATATTTTTCTCAAACAGGAAACTATTGTCAATATAAAATATAAGCAGGTCTTTTTCAGTAACTGTGTTATTAGGTGGCGGGACCTTCTGGGAAGTTTAGCGACGGCCAATCCATCCTTCTGGTTTGGCGGGAGAGCACGTGCGTTGTTTGGTTTATCGCGTGCCGATAAGGTGGTCGTCTGGTTGAGGAATCGTCAATCGAGAAAGAGAGCAGAAGAGAAGCGAGGAGGAAGAAAAAGGAGAAACGGAAGATACTAATCGGGACCCGTGCCTTTTTAAGCCAAACTATTGCAAAATAAACCCGTGGCACTCTCAATTAAGCGAAGCAAATTCAAGTCCGACTCAAGTTATGGTTACAACCCAAGTTGCACCTTCGGTGGTCAAGTTTGTTATTATTTTTTATTAATTTTATATTTTTTTTATTAGTATTAATTTAAATTATTGAAAAATATTAACATAAATTTATAGTTATTTTTAAGGAAAATTCTAAATTAACACCATGAATTTTGGGAGTAGTTTTATGACCATAGTACCTAAGCTTTCAAAAATTATCAAATTGGTCCTTTCCCCCCCAGTTGTTAATTAATGTATAAAAGGACATAAATATCATCTAATTTTCTTTATCTACCACACCCACATAAAAAACCTCACCAGATCATTCAAAACACTTCTATTCATTGAGATACTCCGCAAAGTGACCTTATTCTCCACAATTGTAACAAGGACCACCACCAGACCTTCAACTGCTGCTTGCCCGCGGAGGAAAGGAGAGGTTGGTGAGCGTTCATGCTAACAATTTTCTTTTTTATTATAAATATAAAATAATGCCTGTCACTTAATACTTTGGGCCATGAAATTGAGTTGTAGAAGTGAGAATTCGAAGGGGTTCTTCCTAGAAGTGAGCGCCTGGATTTCCAAGATCTAGGGTGGGGAGAACAAAATAGAGGTAAGACCGATGTGTGCTTCATGTTTCAAACAAAGCAAACAAAATGGTTTGAAATAAAGCAGAGAAGAAATGATCCAAAAGTAATAGAAAAAGTAACAAATCAAATCTGTACAAGAAGTGAACTATAATCTATTTCAGGAACAAAGCAAGCAGGACTCAAGATCCTTTTGTTTGTGGAGTGCAAACAAAGAAGACATCGTGTTTTCGAAAGACTACCCAAATTAAGGGGGTGTTCCATCCTCTATGATTTAAAAAGATAAAAACAAAATACAATTGTTAGACGTTGCTTTTGTTTTTGTTTAAAAACAAATTCTTGCATATTACCGAGCAGCCATTAAGTTGTACACAAATAAACAACTACAATTGTGATCGGAGAAAAACCTTATATATTTCCAAATTCTTTATCCTTTTCGCTGTTCAAATTATAGCAATTATAACTACCATACAAGCACATAGGGGAAACAATAAGCCGAATACCGAATTGGGAATTGGAATTCTGCATTTCCTGAAGAATTTGAGTGCTTTTGACTTGCTTTAAAAGAACAGAGACCCAGTCCCATCACGCATGTTGACAACCGTAGAAGATCAGTTACTGAACTCGAATTACGGAAAGCGAAGCTCATATAGAACAAAATCACAGAAAAAAAAAAAATACATTCAATTTCTTATTGTTTCAAAACGAATAATAGAAGTTAAAATACATCGGAGAGAGCTTCTCAAAGCTAGAGTTCTTGAAGTTCTGCTTGAAAGGGTATGAACACAATGAAACGGAGATGTTCTTCGAACGAGTAATGGAATTGAGATGGTTAGCTCTGTAGATTTAATGCTGCTAAAGGACAAAAATCTTTATAGGGTCTCCATATTTTACTTTTCGACCTCTGCGTGAGGTTGAAAGTCTCATAAGATGTATAGATACAACCAAAGATACGAGGAGGTGGTGAAAACTTTGGAGAGGGGCTCGGTCAATTTCAACGGTCAGAAGCTGGGGGTGGTTCAATGGAACCCGAGCTTGGAGAAAATATTGGTTTTGAACACAGAATTGGTGGTCGATGTACACACCGGTTACGACTTTCTGAAATCTATTACGGTGGAGGTTGCAGGGCATGGTTTTCAAAACCAGACCGAACGGGACGGTCGGTCCAGAAAACCCGGGAACCAACCAGGTGATTGGTTCCGTTTTCTCCAAAAATCGGATTTTCCCCTAAATCTATTGATTTTGGTTAGCAAACCGCTGAATCGAGTGGTTAATCATTTTTTTTTAACTTTTTTATTTATTTGTCAAAACGGGTCAAGCATTCGGTTCGAACAATCGGACCGTTCACCCCGGTAATCAGACCCCTGAACAGTTCAGTCTCCAGGTTGGTTTTAAAAACCATGTTGCAAGGGGACCGTATGAGGATGGAACAGTGTCTATTTTAATTCCTAAGGTAAAAGACAATAAACAGTTTCTTTTATTGAAGGATAGTTTTGACTTTTCAAAAAGTTTCAAGTCACACATGTCATCACGTGATATATATAACTAAGTAGTCCCGTAGGGATCAACTTGACAGTCTTTGCAAGTTTGGATACTGCAGTGACAATTTTAAAGTTCGGGTACTAGCTTGAAACTTACCCCAAAAGTTCAAAGTACTAATCTAGAATTTTCTCTTTTTTAAGTGAAATTTAAATGGATTTTAAGTGTTTTGAACCTGCTACTGTTGGATGGTCAAATTGTTGAAACCATCACCCGGCCATGATTTTGAATTCAGTCTTCCTAAAACTTAGGGTTTGGTCAAAAACTATTCGACCCATGTAATTGAACCATTGACCTATTTAGCTCAGTCACCAGATTACAGGTTGCTAAGGGTGGATTCAAGCTAAGCTGAGCCGAATACTTGGCTATTCGAGCTCAGTTTAAAGCTTGCAAGTTCGAGCTCGACTTAGCTCGAGCTTGACTGCAAGCCAAGTTTTTCTAAAAAATAATTTTTATTTTACATACAAAAAATAAGAATTATAAAAATTATTTATTAGTACACATAAAAATAAAAAATATACATATAAAAATGTTTTTATTTTATATACAAAAAATAAGAATTATAAAAATTATTTACTATTATACATAAAAATAAAAATATTATTATATATAATGAAATTATTTATTATCTATATTTATATATTTATATGTATATGTATGTATGTATGTATGTATTATGTATGTATGTATGTATGTATGTATGTATGTATGTATGTATATATATAATAAAAAAAATATTTATTTATTATACTAGGCTCATGAGCCTCACAAGCCAAGCTTCATTAGGGTCGAGCACACTAAATATATATGCAAACTTCTAGAGGCCATAACTCTGCATTCAGTTGGGTGATTTTGGATTCAATCTTCCTAAAACCTAGGGTTTGGTCAAAAGTTGTTCGACCCATGCAGTTGAACCATTGACCCATTTAGCTCAGTCACCAGATTACAGGTTGCTAAGGGTGGATTCAAGCTGAACCGAGCTGAATACTTGGCTATTCGAGCTCAGCTCAGTTCAAAGCTTGCAAGTTCGAGCTCAGCTTAGCTCGAGCTTGACTACAAGCCAAGTTTTTCTAAAAAATAAAAATATTTTTTATTTTATATACAAAAAATAAGATTTATAAAAATTATTTATTAGTACACATAAAAATAAAAAATGTACATATAAAAATGTTTTTATTTTATATACAAAAAATTAAGAATTATAAAAATTATTTACTATTATACATAAAAAATAAAAATATTATTATATATAATGATATTATTTATTATATATATTTATATATTTATATGTATATATATGTATATGTATATGTATATGTATATGTATATGTATATGTATATGTATATGTATATGTATATGTATATGTATATGTATATGTATAGTGTGTATGTATGTATGTATATAATAAAAAAATATTTATATATTATACTAGATTTGTGAGTCTCACAAGCCAAGCTTCACTAGGCTCAAGCCCACTAAATATATATGCAAACTTCTAGAGGCCATAACTTTGCATTCGGTTGGGTGATCTTTATATCGAATTGGGATAATCTTTTAAGACCTATGTGTCCCAAGGGTCAAAGGTGCCTTGCCCTACTATTTTTGTCAACCCCCATCCTTTGGTCTCAAATCCCAATTTTTGACATTTTTGACAAAGAAAAATAAAAATATAATTTAAACATAAATTAATACATATAACATATAATTTATGTGGAAGATAATATACATTATTTTTATTGATATAATACATATTCATACATACATGCATGATGTGTTATGGTTTGACACATACCAATGACCCACTACCCAAAGGCAAAAATACTTCAACCTCAAAATCGATATTAAAACATTGTTTTAAACCAATGAACCTAAATTTAAGATTAATAAATATTTTATTATTTTATTAGAAAAATCAAAATTCTTAAATGTTACTATCTTTTATTATTTTCAATTTTTAAATAGATTATAATTTATAACATTTATAGTATTAATAGTTAATAATAATTAATTGATTATAGGATTAGTAATTATTAAATAATTAATAAAATAGGTATTTGTAAATGTTAAATTATTTCTACACAATTAATAAACCAATTGTGTTTGTCACATGGTTTTTAATCTTAGGGGGTGTTTTGTAACGTGGATGAAAATTGGTGGGTGTGGACTATGGCAGGGACCAATCCACACCACACCTCAATCCATAGTTGTTTTGATTTGTGGATAACTTGTGTGGTGTGGACTGAACTCTGAATCAATCCACACCTGTAGTTGTGTTCTATAGGTGTGGTGCGGATCACCTTTTGATTCCATACATTTCATATACAGTTTGTGAAATAACTATGCAATTGATTATAAATAAGTAATTATATCCAATAACCCAAATTAATTTGGA